CACACACACACACACACACACACACACACACACACACACACACACACCAGTTAAGGCCCTGAGTATCAGGGAAAAGGTTGGGAGATCCCGTCAATTTAAAGGGAGAGATTCTGACAGTATTGGTAGGGGACTGGGAAGGCAGGACAAGAGCTCTCAGAAGCCACCAGGAGACAGTCTTAGAAATGAGGAGATGGACGCTGAGTGCTGGCTCAGGAACTGGGGCCAGGGCCTGGCTGACAAAGGCACAGAGGCAGATATGATCAGAGCAGTGACGACTGAAACAAGGGAAAGGGAGAGACAGGCGAGGAGACCCCGTGCCGTCCCTTATGTACTGCACACACATGGAGTGAAGGCTTTCATTTACTGTTCAGTCATGCTTCCTAAGCTCTTTGTAAGCCATCTCTATTTGGGAAATAGGCTATTTGTGAAAAATAGAAATAGTCAAGGGAGCAAGAATAGCAGGAATTTGACACTGCTCAAATACAATATGTGCTGTGCAAATGGTAAACATCACAGGAGATCAGAATTGGGCAAACTTACTATGGATTGAGTTGGCCAGGAAAGGACAGAAAAATGTAGGATTTAAGAACCTTGGGATCATGTGGCAGGCTTTTTCTGTGAGGGACAGGTAACAAACACCCTTGACTTTGCTGATCTCGCAGTATCCAACCATTAATCAGAGGGTGGAGTGACGGGCTCCCCGTGGCTGGACTTGGCTCCAGGAGTGCTGTCTTCTAGACCTCTGGGCCAAGCACAGAGACCAAGGCACTCAGCTCAAGTTCATAAAGCATAGCTGTGGTCAGGAGGTTGTCACCTTGGATTGCCTACAAGGCTCTGCATCGCACAACCACACTTATTCTATCACCCCCTGATGACTCAGGATGAGGCCGTGGAGAAAGGAGCAGGTTCAAGGTAAATAGAGAATCTGGTATAAAACAGAGACTCACTAACAAATTCAAACTTGGGATTTACTATCTAGGGAAGAGTCTTCCCACTGAAGGTCTGGGACCCGAAAACAGGAAGGCATTTTGAGAACAAGAAAAAGGGCAGGAGTGCTAGCAGAGGGCTCCAGCATGTCACACTCAGAACTGTTCTTGCCAACAGCACCTTACCAGCATGGTCTTCCCTCGCTTTCCCACGGTGATGCCAGAGTTCCTGAAGCCAGAATCAACTGCCACCGAATGCTGTAAGAAAACACAACACTCTAGGTGCTGGTATGCCAACTAGCCTGACCCTCAGTTATGCTCTGTAAGTGGCAGAAACAACTAACTGCAAAACCATTCTTGTGTTTGGCGGGGTGGACTATGCTTTAAGGCCCCATCATAATGCCTGTCACACAAACCCAAGAGCAGGCTTGGAAATGTCACCAAGAGAGAGTAGAAACAGTGATGGTGACATGAACCATGTTAGACAGAAGCAAACGTTAAACAAATGAGGTGCTTTCGCTAAGAAAGAACAAAGTTCCCTCGGTGTCCTCAGTCTTAGAGAAAACCATGAGATGTGATGGGTCTCAACATGCCAAACCTATGGGGGTGCTCAGGTACCTGACTGGCCGCTAAAGACCCAGGCCTTCCCTCAGCTCAGCAGTTCTTGACTTGCAATGGTTTTCCTCAGGGGCATTCTGCAGTGATGGGAGATACTGGTGGTTGCCAGGGTGTCACAGTGGCAGGGCGGTGGTGGCTGTGAAGGGGAAGTTTAGCTGGGGATGCTACCGCAGCACTCCATGGTACAAAGAGCAGTCTCTCCACAAAGCATGATCTGGTTTCAAATGTCAGAAGTGCAAGCACTGAGGATTTGCTCTAAGTGGCTCTCCTGAGATGTCACCAATCCCCTGTGTAGGCCAGCCCGTGTATGCCCTGTGTCGGTGAGTCCCACTTCCAGCTCAGACCACTCGTGCACAACCCACACCTCATTTTAAAAACCCGTTTCTCGACCAGCCAGGCTTTCACACAGGTGCCACCATCCATCCACTGTGTCAGGCTCCAAAGTGAGCTTCTTAGCTTTGGAGCCCTCTGCCCACATACAATTCCTGTTTTTTCCACCTTCAACTCACACCTACCCAGCTCTCTCCTCTCTAAGCTGTTCAAGTCTGCATGATGCTCGCAGACCTCTGCAGGAGTCTGTTTTCCTCCACTCCCTTTAGCCCTCCTTATATCCCTGCCAAAAGGGAGTCCAGACACCCCAGCATGAGGTAGAATGGTCTACATGACTGCATCCCTGCCTTCTTCTGCAGTTTCATCTGGTTTCCCTTCTGCTCTCTGAACACCAAAAGCCTTTTCTGACAGCGGTCTTTGTTTTTGTGCCTTTCAGGCCTTTCCCTCTGCCTGGCCTACTGGTTTCTCATGTGTCTTGATCCCACTGTATGATGTCTTTTCAGGGAAGCCCCCCAGCTCCTTCTTTATTCCTTCCCATTGCTCTCAAGCACAGTGCCCTAACTATGCCCTAAACAGCAAGCACCCAAGGAGAAACTGTCTTCCACTGCTCGGCTCCCTCCCTGGAATAAATACAAACTCTGGGAGAACACCATGGGTAGTTTCTCCTTTTCTTTAGTGCCCAGCAGACTGGACAACAGTGAGTGTGCTCCTGGGCAGGGGACACATGTGGCCCTGCTGCAGTCAGCTCTGCATGTCAGACTTCCAGCACAGCTCTGGCCAGGAGAGGGCGGCCTATCACCACAATGATGAGCACTGGGAACTGGGCCTGAGGACGGAAATGGGGAAGGTAAGCTTAGGAAGCGCAGGCGGTTTACTCTGGAGGGAGATGAGAAGACAGATCCATATCTAGAAGAAACAGAGCCACAGGTTGCAGAGCACTGCCTCTTAGCCAGCACTTTGGAGGCACCTATAAACGGCTCCATGTTCCTTCACTTTCTCCACAGTGCTGGGCACATGGCTTTAAATAGTGGGCACTGGCATCTCTCTGCTGCTAACCTCAGGCCAGCTCAGGACAGCTGCCTACACAAACAACCTCATTTAGGGGTTAGTGCTGAGCTTGTCTTCAAGGCATCCATGACATACTAGCCCCATTGACATTTGCAGAAAGGCCCTTTATGCTGGTAATGTTGAATGAGGTCACCAGGGCAGGGACTCACAGCACCAGGGCTGATGTCCCTGAAAGAGATGCCAGTGGCGTGCACTCACAGAGGCCAGGCCATGAGAAGACAAGGGGGAGGTGCCTATCTGGAAGGCACAGACTTGTCCCACAAGAAACCAATGCTGCCAACCCATTGGCTCGCTACATGGTATTCTATCATGGTAGCCCCAACAGGCAGGCCTCCAGATTAAGATGCACATCTCAAACCCACACACTTGGTCTAGCTACTGCTGCCTGGTCCCCACACTCTGAGCTTCCTGCACCTATAGACATCACCTGGCACCGGGGTGCGAAGACCACACTAAGACTTATCCTTCCCCACTTTTCTCCTTCATAGGCTGTCCGATCCCTAACTTCATCATCTGTTAATCCAAAGCTAAAATATATTTGATTCTGTCCCCTCATGTTCTTTGTGTCATCTCAGGCCATGCCACACACTCACAGAGGCCTAGCTGAGTCTCACCTGTGGCAGAACTAGGCTCTTAGAACACACTGCTCCAACCTTTGCAACTGGCACTTGACTGAGAAAGCAACCTGATGGTTTCATTCTGGCCTTCTGCTCTGTGAATACACCAGGCCCTTTCTCACTTCTAAAACTCTGTATTAGGAACACTCTAATCTGCTTAGAAGCACTGATTCCTAGTGATAGGCCTAACCATCTTTATTCTTTTTCTGTCCTGGCATCAGGAACTTTCTTGAGAGATGGTGAGAGAGGTGCTCACACACAGTTCTAGCCAGATGCTTTGTGAAACATGTGGACTGGTCTCACTAAATTACACTGTGATGAAACAGCGCTGCCTGCAAGCAGGCAGATGGTGTAAGCAGAAAAGGAAGATTTCAAACACGAAGTTCCACATAGTTGCCTTTTAAAACACAGCCAGACACAGGACGGCGAAATTCACAGGCAGGATCCTGAGGAACACAGTGGCCATGTGTGGTTACGGACTTTACTTTCCGAGAGGCTAACAGGAGTCCCTGATCCTAACACTTGACATAAGTGGCTAGACTAATCAAACAGATGAAAATCACTAAATCAAAACATTAGCTGAATAAACCAATATCAAACAAATTTAAAAGGTGGCTTAGAGCTTAAAATTAATTCTACCCACAGATGTCTAAATTCAAGAGCAGGCAGAAAGCCTTACCAGGGTCTGTGCATCCTGTAGTGTGCGGCACTGCACATGGAGAATGAATGGTTCAAACTTCAGAACAGCATCGCTGGCCGTGCCCTTCAGAGCTGCCATCTGAGGGAAGCAAAGGGCAGCGTCAGGCGCTGCTCCACCCTGCCCTGTGCACCTGTTTCTACCTCCCACCATCTGCTTTCCCAGCAATGATCCCACCAAGCACAGGCTGTCTGTAATATCTGTTTCTCCGGCTTTCTTGGCATTCTCTTATTAAAAACCTTACTATTTGCTTATTTAAATTTTCTCACATTTATTTATTTATTGGGTGGGTGGGACATCTGCACTATGGAGCCTATCAAAGGACAACTTTCCTTGGTTCTCTCCTGATACCACACAGGTCCTGGAGATCAACTCAGGTCATCAGGCTTGGCAGCAAGTGCCTTTATCCACTGAGCCACTGCATCAGGCCTGTTTGCTTATTGTCTTTAAAGACGTGATTTCTAGTCTCCCCATAAATCTAAGCCTTTTCCAGTTCCCCTTTCCTGACAAAAGTAAACTACTGTTTAATGTGAGCCCACAACAGACTTTTCTTTATGGAATGTAGAACATAAAGCCTGCACATGGAAGATGGCCAAATGTTAAGACTGAGACAGAGACATTCTCGTTGTGACTCAGAAAGGCCTGATGTCTCCTCAGTGTGCCCCAGAGGAACTTTGTACTGTGTACAGGACTGGCTCAAAAGGATGGAAGCCATGGCACATAGGGAAAACGCTGCTCCCTCTGTACGGGTACAACTCAGTTTCTTAGAACCAGGTATCAATTTTGCAGATCCACAGGGTAAGGGTCAAGGTCCCCTTACGGAAGTACAAAGTGGTTGCCTATCCTACAATGTCCTTCTGGGCTGTCCTGAAGCTTTATCAGGCAGGAGTCTGGTCTCCACCAGGGGATAGCACACTGTCTTTTCCTTGCCAGAGCCTGGGTCTTAGCCCTCCTCATCCCGGCTCTGAGTAAAGCATTATACTGTGGGAGCCTAGCACATGCTCTTTGTTCTTAGCAACTGCAAGTTACGTACCCTTGTCTTTCCTGAGTGGCAGGTATCTGCCTTCTGGCCTGGCTTGCCCTGATGGTACAGTATATACAGTGGCACACAGTAAACACATAATACTACAACTGAGCGAAAATCTATACCAGTTACTATTTCTGTGTGCCTGGCATTCTTGGGCAGCACCCTCCCACCTTCTCACCATGGATTCTAGTGAGCTGTCAATCAGCCCTGCCACTCACACTCTCCCTGTCCAGGAAAAGCAGTTCATCTAGCATGAAGCACCAAGTTCACGTAGGACAACCAGTCCTTTTGCGACTGGTCCACGATTGTTAGGAAAAGGAAGTCTTTTCTGCAGGGACTGTTGGCAGTTCCCCCTTGCTGCTGCAGAGACCTGCACCAGAGGAGCAAGTGCAGGCAGGAGGAACACAGCTTGCTCCTGGAGACACAGTTGAGGGAGCCCTCCTCATTCAACACAAGAATACTGGAACTAGCCATGCCTCACTCTCAGTCTGTCCTTTCCTCTCTTCTGCATACGATGGGACTGGGTTTCTAGAAGAACCAGGAAGGAAAGGTAGCTGCCTAACACAACCTTCCTGATGCTCACCTAACTCTGCAGACTCAGAAACCAGACAATTGAGCATAGCCATGAGGGTGTCCAGAAGCCAGCCTGGTAAATGATGCACACTTATCTCCAAAATTAAATGGCAATGCAGACAGAGGCAATCCCCTTCTCCTTCTATAATTTGTTCCGGATACAAAGTTATTAAATAACAGAAATGAATGTCAAATGCACAAACACTCTGCTACTAAAGAGGGTGCTGCACTGAGCCGTAGGCCCGTGGACACTTCCACACCATCACGTCCTACAACCCAGCAGGGCCCAAGTGGCGAAAGCTTTCTGGAATTCATAATTTTCAGCCATTACAATTATACAAGGTTTTGTTCTAGTCTTTCCACATAAATTTAAACTGGATTTTTAAAGTTTATTTTTACATATTAAAAACTTACCACATCATCTTTCACACAAGGTTTATGTGTGACCAGTAGCCAGGAACAGTGCTGCTTCTGAACCCCAGAACCGTTTATGCTCTAAAACAGCAGACAACTTAATTGTAATATTTGACAAAATAAGTACATTGCATTGTATACTATGACGAGCATTCTTAAGTCAGTACTCATAAAATTACTGAAAATAATTCAATGTTTTGGGTTAAGATAACCTAGAGGAAAATCAACTCAAATAACTTAGGACTTGAACGGTAAAAGTACTCATGTGCCTTCAAAAACACACCATGTTTTTGGCTTGTTTCTGTGTTGGTGTGGTGCTCGGGATGGAACCCAAGGCGTCACGAATGCTGGGTGCGTACACTTACCATGGGGTCACAAGCCCATTTGGTCTTGTTTTTGTTAGAAGGACAATGGGGGGCTTTTATGCTAGAAGCATCTGATTACACAAAGTGAAAAAGAGAGGGGCACCTTCTGGAGAATAGCCTGGGTAGTACTACATAAAATAACTACATCCGACCCACCATTCGGTGATATCTGTGATGCACACTCCTTTGAACACTTTCCTCATCACCATGGAAATATACTTGTGATTTCTATATTAGACACACATGCAAAGAAGCCAGGACCGATGTTTCAGAGATCTGGAAAGGCTTTCCAGCACTGACCTAAGCATTTTTCATTTGCCAATTCTAACAGGTATGCACAGATCCTTTCCTCAGCTACAGGAAAGTGAAAGCAAGAAACCACATACATGGAGATCACTGTATCTCTAACATATCCTTGCATACAGGGCTCTGGAGGACACTAGGCCGCCTGATCTTACAGGCATGTACCCTGAATAACTGCTTTTCATAACAAGATTTTAGTAACATGTATTTGGCCTTGTACTGGCTACTATAAACCTCAGAGCCAAGTGAGTGGCTTACACTTAACAAATTTACAGAATCTAATACCATGATTTGGGAGCATCTCTGATTTATCTATGTTTAGCTTATCCTGAGTTGTCACATTCCTTCTTTCCTAATAAGGCAGAGTAAAAGTGAATACCAACAAAGTATGAGATACATAAAGTAAAAGAGGTTCAGAGAGAATCCTAAGACAGTTGAGAATGAGCAGCCACTGCTAAGGGGTACTGTGCTTGTCCGCACACACCTCTTTGGCTATCTGGCTGAAGACTGGCGCTTGAGGACTCAGGACTCAGCCATGTAGATAGAGGGGTAGCATTAGAGGAGAACAGCTCTTCCAGAAGCTGAGGCAGGAGGATCACAGGTTCAAAGCCTCTTCGATCTACAGAATGTGCTCAAGAGCAGCCTAGGCACCTAACAGAGCCTGTTTTAGAAGCTAGAGAAAGGAGGAGAGGCTGCAGCTGTGACTTGGTGGCTGAGCATCTACTTAGCATTCATGATGCCCTAAGTTCAGCTGTTAGTGCTGCCATTCCTAACTGAAGACCATGAGCAAGACAGACACAACAGTTCAATTCTGGCAGATAGTCAAAATGAAGACAGGGTTGTAGGATACAGTACAACATAAACTTGGATTCTCTGAAGTAAGATATTACAAAGTTTCGGCACAGACGTTTAGCCAAGAAAATCCTATTTTGAAAGGTATATACATATACCCCAAATACATATATAATGACTGTTGAGAAGAACAACATAACTTTACAGGTCTCTTTATAGGAATTTCATAGCCCATGTTAAACTAAGTCCTCTCAGCACTCTTCAAGAAAGCAGTAGGACACAGACAGAAGAAGCAATTGGGACAAGGCCCACCCTGCTGAAAAAAGTTAAACTAGGCCAAGCAGTGTGCCCAAGGGCTTCTCCCATTTGAAGAAGATTGCTCCCAAGGTCTCCACCCTATTGCAAAGTACTGTCCAAACTGGCAGTACAAGACAGGGTTTCCTGGCTACCGGTCCAGAAGGTCACAACTCTCTCACCCAGATAGCTCTTCACTCTGCTTTTTGGAGAAGTCACAGGATGTGATGGTCACCCCTCCCCCCAACTAAGCCTGAATCTGCATGTCATAAGACATCCCTGGTATAACTTAAAGATCAAATATCCTTTAGACATCTGGTGACTTGAGTGCCTAAAATGAACCAATTCTGTACTGACAAGCTTGCAACCCCATGCCTCCACATACTTTTTCCTTTAAAAACCCAAGGCTTTTACCCATCACTGCTGTTCCTTGCTGACTTGTAAGAAGGCCCCACCGTGCCATGGTCTGAATAAACCTCTTGCTTTTGCACCAATCCGCCTCCAAGTTTCCCTCAGTTGCCTTTCTAGCAGTTAGGCTCTCCCTGGGCCTAACACTGTGATGTATAACACAGTTTGGAAGAGAAAAAAAAATAGTATTTCAGAGACTTACTAGGAAAGCCCTGAAAACACCCAGGTGGGGCAGTGGTAGCTGTGGTGTGGGCAGCAGGCTTGTGGACAAGAGTGCCCAAGTGTGAGCAATGGAAGCAATGGAAACATGGACAGGCCTTGCTAATCTGTGACTTTAGAAAATGATTAGCCAAGCTGGACCTAACAATTGTGACCATGCACGTGAGGTCTTTCATGCTCTAGATACAACAACATTAATAAAATGAAAATGAGGTAACTTTCAAGGAACAGTGTGAGCCAGGCACAGTAAATGATGAACATTAGTGATCCTATTTCGTCAACACAAAATCCTATGCAACAAATGTTGTCCCGTGGGACAGGAAGAGGATGAGAATACGCAAATTCCCTAACAGTCAATACTTGCAATAATCGGTTAGAGATCTCAGCCTGAGGCTTTGAGGATCTTCTACAAGCCTTGTTGCATTTAAGAGCTAAAACTGTCCAGGGATGCAATAATGGAGTGGGCCACTAGGGGGCAGTTAGCGAAGCCCATCTAGTAATAACAGTGACTTAGAACGGTTCAAGAGAGGATGAGCTTGGGCCCACGGGACTGAAGACAAATGTCCCAGCCTTCTATAACCCGAATTTTCTAGCTGTTGCCACTTAAGCTGGTTCCACCATCACTGGGGGGCTCTTGTCAGAATTACAACGCCGATTGTAAAAGGCCCAGGTGGATAACAACTCTTTGGGAGCACAGGTAACGGAGGTCACCCGCGCACAGGCGCCGGCCCGGGTCCTCACCCCGTCCAGGAGGAGGATGCGGCCTGCGCAGGAGCTGGTGGTGAAAAACTCCTCACGCGAATTCAGGAGCTCCACAACCTGCACCGCATCCTCGTCCACGCTGCCTTTCCGGCTGAGGTCCGCCTTGCTCAGGCTCTGCGCCTTCCATCGGCCGAACTCTGCGCTGCGGTCCATGCCTGGGCGACCAGGGGCCGGCTCTCTTTGCTTCGGAACGCACCTCTTCTAACCCATGGGCGCAGCCATATTGCCGCCACGGTGGCCGGAGAGGACCAAACTTCTCCATTTGCGCAATCGGGAGCCTGGTGAGAGACACTGGACTGCAGAGGAGGTGTAACGGCGAGGCGGAGCCTTGCAAAAGTTAGAAAAGGCTGGCCTATCTTTTTTCCCAGGGAACTCTTGGAGCTTAGGAAGTTTTGATTCGTATTCTAGAGAAGGGTAAGTGGTTTTTCAACGTCGATCTCATCCAAGTGAACAGCGGTTGGTTTGACTCCTTTCCTTTCCTTCCTTCTGTCCTCGGTTACCTGCTCACAACCTGGCGGTCGCCCAGGACCACAAACTCCTACCCTTGTCTGCTGGGAGGCTTGCTCGCCGCCCCCGACCCCCAAGTCCTAGGCTCTGGGAGGATCTGCACTGGAGATGAGCACAGCAGCCGGCTGGGTGTTAGGACCCGGTTGTACCGCCTGCTGATGCCAGGCATCTGGGCCCCAACTCGGGGTTCACTATTTCCCAGGTGCAGGGAGAGGACTTTCTGTGTTATGGCCTCCAGTGTGCGCACAGCAGACGCTGTTATCTTCCTTTAGCACCTGTCTACAACGGCCTTTAAAGGAAAGAAAGAGAGAGAGACAGAGACACAGAGAGACAGGGAGGGAGGGGTAGAGGAGACAAAAGACAGAAGAGACAGAGGGAAAACGTAATATTTTGTTAACTACATATTGCACATTACGAATTCTAGAGTGCCTCAAGCCCGGTGACCAGAAAAGACCTGTCAGTGACTGAAAGGTCCAAAGGCCATTTTGTGTACTATTTGTCCACTGCCTTTGGGCCTCTGAAACCACCATGACTCCCTGGCTCCTGCCCTAGGGAATGAATGCAGCTCACAGCGGCCCACTCACACTGCAGACTGCATGCCCTATCCGCGGACTGCCGGGGGATAGGGGGATCTCTGTGAGACCAAGACAGTGACCACATCATATAGCCAGAAGAATCGTACTGGACACTTTAATTTTCATCATTTATGTGAATGTCTACGTTAATAATAAGCAATGTGCTTCCATAAGCCATTCCAGAACAGTGGCAGTACATTTTATAATTAGTGGGTCCCTTTCTTCGCTTTTATTTAAAACTATCTCGAAAAATAAATTTTATTTTTCTTCCCAGAATTCAGGGAGGCAGAAGCAGGAGGATCTCTGTGAGTCTGAGGCCAGCCTGGTCTAGAGTCTGAGTCCAGGACAGCCAGGGCTACAGAGATAAACCCTGTCTGGAAAAACAAAAATTATTTTCTTTTGGTCTTTTAAAAAATACTCTTTTATGCATATAGGTGTTTTGCCTGCATGTCTGCACCGTGTGCACTGCCCGGTGCCCTCAGGACATACAAGGGCATGGGGTCTCTCGGGACTGGAGTTGGAATTGGTTGTGAGCCTGACAAGGGCATGGGGTCTCTCGGGACTAGAGTTGGAATTGGTTGTGAGCCTGATGAGTCTGCGCCACCCAAGTTGGCGCTGGAACTCCAAACGAAGCCTCAGCAAGAGGATAACATTGTCCTTTGCTGCTAACCCCAGCCCCATCCCTGTTCTTTACTAGTAGTATGTCATTACTCTGAGTTTGGGAATTGACCCATCAACTCTCTGTTAAGATACATTTATTCAAGCATAGCCCAGAGGAGAATTTTTTAATTCTGTATGTCCTAGAAGTAAAAAGTAAAATAAATAAGCAAGGTACTATCATTTTCATAGCATATATATTTGGTAAATAGAAAAGCCTATGTAAACCACAACATAGTTGACAAACCCAAGAAGACAGGCATGATGGCGCATGTACTAGGAGAGTCACCCAGAACTCTGGACCAACCTGGTCTATGAAGTGAGTTAGCCTGGGCCACAGTGTGAGGTGCTCTGAAAGTGGCAGAAAGCTCCTCTTTGTTTGGTGGGAGACCCTGAGTACCGGTACAGCTTATTGTGTTGCTAGCATCCCCTGCAGCCTACTCCCTGCTGCTGCAGGCAATCCCCGAAGGTAGCCGAGCCATCAGGAAAGGTTAGCTCTCCCTGCAGGACCATGTCCTTGGTGTTTCTCCTGTGTTTCCCAATCTGTAGTCATTGAAGAATACCCAAGTAGATGCCTTAGAGGATATGTGCCCCGGCCTGTAGCTTGTTGACATTTCATACCTAATTTCTCAGACATTCCAGAATTCATTTCAGAGAAATTAAAGACAATCTATGCCAACATTTCCAAAAGTGAATCTGGAAGATTGTAAGTTAATAAAACACTTCAAGCACTGGCCTGGGATTCTACCTCCGCATGACCTCTGTGACGTGTCTGAGTCTCTGAGCTTCTTGTGTTTTCTCACCCATATAATGGGGCCTTTAGTTCTGCACAAGGTAATGGTTTCATTTGTGCCCATTGTGAAGATAATTAAATGAATGGATATTAAAAAAAAAACTGTATGTTTTGGGAAAAGCTGGGTATTATGTGGGCTTAAGGATTTTCATAATTGCTTGCTGTTTTATTCCCTGTGATTCTCTTTGATACAGCACCAGTATTATGAAGTGGATGATGATACTGTGGTTGAGTTCAGAAGCAGTGAGTGCAGACTGGAGATTGACCAGTCAGAATGCAAAGGCTCAGTGAGGAATAAGGTCAGGAGGGGCAGGAGGTGGCGCTGCCATGGCCAGGCCCTCTTTCTGAAGTATTAGGGTGAGGGCAGTCTTCCAGACTTAGGACAGAATGAAGAGAAGTCACTGCCTTCCTCCCTCCCTTTTCTCCTCTCCCTCTTCCCTTCAAAATGTAAGAAAAATAAATGAGTTAGCAACAAGATACAGACCCTGGTTTAGAACAATTTTGATTTTATTATTATAGTCTTTTTGAGGTAATAATGTTGTTGGAAAGACAGATGTGTGGGAAATGGATACAGAGGCAGTAAATAGAAACTGAAAGTGGAAAAGAAGAGTGAGGTTGTGTGTGCCTGTTATCACAGCAGCAAGATTAAGAATTGGAGACCAGCATCGTTTACGTAGCAAGTTCAAGGCCAACCTGGTCCATGTAGCCAGACCCTCAGAAAAGCCCAAGTCTGGATGTAGAGCCCAGCTGTAGATGCTTAGCATGCTTAAGGGCCTAGATTCTCACTACAGCCCAGTAAAGAAAGGAAACAAAGAAAAAGAGTTAAGTATCTCGTGTGTGTATGAGAGTCAAAAATAGACAATCAGAGATACAGAGTGTGAGAGAGTCAAAGATAGACACATAGAGACAAACAGAATGTGTGTGAGAGAGTCAAAGATAGACACACAGAGACAGTGTGTATGTGTGTACACAGTTCCTGGCAGCCTTTACCTTTCCTGGGTTTTGGACAGTAATTCACTATCGCTACGTGCTTTTCTGAGTGTAACAGCCGTGACCTGCAGCAGATAGCCATGACTTCTTACTTAAAGAGACCCTCGAGGTCAAGACTGTTGACTGCTGGTGTCCCTTACAGAAGGATGGCATCTTTGGTCCCTTATTTGATGCTCTAGCCACTGCACTCCTGTACTCCGGATAGCTGTGTACAACTCTGTTCTAACTGTGCTCTGCCTCGTTGTCCAGAGGTACTAGAGGGTTTACTGGAGAGGGTTTCTGTCCATCCAGCTGTGAGGAAGTCGTCCTCACAGGGTTTCCAGTGTGGTTGGTGGAGAGTCACCAGCACCATGAAGGCAAAAGTAACCCCTCACCCACGGTCTGTGGCGCCTTACAACCCACGGTGCCCACGTCAGCCTTTGTGTTTTTGTGTCTACCTTTGTGCACTTTAGTTTGTAGCTGAGGCCCTGTAAGGACATGGAGGCTGCTGTTTCCATCTCCAGGGATGTAAACATGGCAACACTCAGAGTTAACAGAGAAAGTGCACCTGTGTGAATAGTGACAGTGCAGGGCTGTGGTAGCGTTGCGCTTGACTTGTTTTCGGGACTGGAGAGAGGTCTCTGAATTTGTGTCTCAGGTTCCGAGTCTTACATCTCTGATGTGTTAACAAACACCTAGGTGGCAGCAGAATCTAACTGCTTCATTTGACTTATTTAAAGAAATTGTGATAAGTCGTAGTTAAAATTACAGGCATACAGCTAAACCGCTCATCACATCTCCAGCAGTATGGTGTTTCCAGGCATGTAATTTCCTATGCTAAGTACCTTTGCTTTTCTTAGAGTTTATTTTTAACCTGGTTTTCTCTTCCTTTTAATAATAACAGGAGGGCAGAAAGGTTACCTGGGCCTTTTTAGTGTATAAACAGCTACACTGTTTTTTTAGGTTTCATTTTCTTTTCTCCTTTTATTACTATGAACTACACAGGGGCTGGGAGATGGTTCACTTACCACCAAAGCTAGGCACCTCAGTTTGATTCCAGAACCCACATGGAGAAGTGAGAAAACTGACCTCCACGCCTGGACTTTAGCATGTGCCCACACCTCCTTTCACGCTCATATGCACATATAAACAAATGTAATAAAAACTATAGGAAGTCTAATGTTTCTATAATCTGATAAATTTCAAAAACTTAGTGCTAAAAGGGAAAAGACAACAATTCAGTACAACTCAACCTAAGTAAAGTTAGTAAGTATACAAAACAATAGCATGCATTGCTCCTAAGTTCGTACAAGCTCTCTGGCATTGAATTTATGGTACTAATTGATTCTCGAAAGTTGGCCCAGAGGCAGTGTGAAAGGAGAGTGCAATAGGCCTCAATTATGTCTATATTGCTTTAGGTTAAAAGGTTCACTTGTTAGAAGCTGGGCATAAATGTGTTTACTCCTTGTTTTTCTGTCTGTTTGCAACATTTCATAATCTGATTAAAGAACCCTACATCTAATGTTAGTTCATAAATTTCTGACACTGCAGGCCAAGCTTAAGCAAAAGCAAACATCAGCTGTGATGTCCTATTTGGTCCAGATGTTTCTGTTTGCATGCTTAACTCCCTTGTTGAAGGCACTGAATCCCATAGGAAGTAGTATGGGGTGTTTTGCTTTGTAGCTGAAGGACTTTTGAGATGAAAGATCCTTAAACATGAAGTGAGATCAGTGGTAAGCTACGAGCTTAAATTGTAGTTTGGAAGGTTGTTTGATCTGTGTCCTCTGGGGGTGAGAAAACAGTGATACCCTAGATACACTATGATGCTATATTAATTTTTTCTCAGGCTCTAGGTCACCATGGCAACTACCCAGAAGTTGATGAGGGCCATTCGAGTGTTTGAATTTGGTGGACCAGAAGTGCTGAAACTCCAGTCAGACGTGGCGGTTCCTGTCCCACAAGGCCATCAGGTGGAAATGACTATTCAGTTCCAGCAATGCCCACCCAGAGGGGATGCACAGTGACCTGCAGATTGTGAAACAGGACAGTATCCAACTGTCTGTGTGAACCCTGACAGAATAAGGCACATAAAATTAGTGAAGTAGACATTTGAAAAGGAGTAACTTTTGGCTACCACCAAGTTTCTGATGTTGAAAATCAGCTTTGTAATATAATAACAGGGTTTTAATGGAGTCATGGGAATTCTGAATAAGTTCTGCTATCATGAACCTCCATGGTTTTTATTTTTCACATGGTGGGAAAGTAATTTCCCCTTGGCCTTAAAAATTCGACTATATTGGACTTAAGAGAATTGAACTGGAATTTAATTGTCTCTAGCGATTTTTATCAATAGCCTTTTGACTCAAGTTGTATACATTTATTAAGGCCCATTCCATACTCCCCCCGTCTAATATCCTTAGCAAGCCTTATGAGAAATTTTTTACTTTGATCATAGCTCATCTTTCCAGGTTGATTTTGTATCACCCGCTTAGTAGATTTTTTTTAAACTTTTATTAATTGCACTTTATTCACTTTGTATCCCCCCCATAAACCCCTCCCTCCTCCCTAAACCCACCTTCCGTCCTCCTTCTTCACACATGCCCTTCCCCAAGTCCATTGATAGGGGAGGTCCCCCTCTCCTTCCTTCTGAGCTTAGTCTATCAGATCTCATCAGGAGTGGCTGCATTGTCATCTTCTGAGGCCAATCAGTTTATGTCAGAGGCAGTCCCTCTTCCCACTACTATGGAACCCACTTGGATACTGAACTGTCATGGGCTACATCTGTGCAGGGGTTCTAGGTTATCTCCATGCATGATAATTGGTTGGAGTATGAATCTCAGAAAAGACCCCTGTGCTCAGATTTTCTGGTTCTGTTGCTCTCCTTGTGGAGTTCCTGTCCTCTCCAGATCTTACTATTTCCCACTTCTTTCATAAGATTCCATGCACTCTGCCCAATAGTTGGCCGTAAGTCTCAGCATCTGCTTTGATTGTGTGCAGGGCAGAGCCTTTTAGTGGCCCTCTGTGGCAGGTTCCTAACTTGTTTCCTGTTTTCTTCTTCTTCTGGTGTCCATCCTCTTTGCCTTTCGGGATGAGGACTGAGTATCTTAGTCAGGGTCCTCTCTCTTGATTAGTTTCTTTAGATGTACAGATTTTAGTAGGTTTATCCTATATTATATGTCTATATGAGTGAGTATATACCATGTGTGTCTTTCTGCTTCTGGGATAGCTCACTCAGGATGATCCTTTCCAGTTCCCACCATTTACCTGCAAATTTCATGATTTCCTTGTTTTTCATTGCTGATTAATACTCCATTTTATAGATGTACCACAATTTCTGTATCCATTCTGCAGTTGAGGGGCATCTGGGTTGTTTCCAGCTTCTGGCTATTACAAATAAAGCTGCTAAAAACATGGTTGAGCAAATGTCCTTATTGTGTACTTGAGCCTCTTTTGGATATATGCCTAGGAGTGGTATGGCTGGATCTTGAGGAAGTGCTATTCCTTGTTGTCTGAGAAAGTGCCAGATTGATTTCCAGAGTGTTTGTACAAGTTTACATTCCCACCAGCAGTGGAGGAGGGTTCCCCTTTCTCCACAACCTTTCCAGCATGTGTTGTCACTTGAGTTTTTGATCTTGGCCATTCTGATGGGTGTAAGGTGAAATCTCAGGGTTCTTTTGATTTGCATTTCCTTGATGGCTAATGAGGTTGAGCATTTCTTTAAGTGTTTTTCTGCCATTCGATAATCATCTATTGAGAATTCTCTGTTTAGCTCTGTTCCCCATTTTTTAATTGGATTACTTGGTTTGTTGCTTTTCAGCTTCTCTAGTTCTTTATATATCCTGGATATTAGTTCTCTGTCAGATATAGGGTTGGTGAAGATTCTTTCCCAATCTGTAGGCAGTCATTTTGTTTTGATGATGGTGTCCTTTGCTTTATAGAAGCTTTTTCATTTTCATGAGGTCCCATTTATTGATTGTTGCTCATAGAGCCTGTGCTGTTGGTGTTCTGTTCAGGAAGTTGTCTTCTGTACCAATGAGTTCTAGGGTCTTCCCCACTTTTTCTTCTAACTGATTTAATGTGTCTGGTTTTATGTTGAGGTCTTTGATCCAATTGGATTTTAGTTTTGTGCAGGGTGATAAGTATGGATCTATTTGCATTTTTCTATATGTAGACATCCAGTTAGACCAGCACCATTTGTTGAAGATGCTATCTTTTTTTCCATTCTATGGTTTTGGCATGTTTGTCAAAGATCAGGTGTCCATAAGTGTGTGGGTTTATTTCTGGGTCTTCTGTTGGTCCACCAGTCTGTTTCTATGTCAATACCATGCAGTTTTTATTACTGTTGCTCTATAGTATAGCTTAAGATCAGGAATGGAGATACCTCCAGAAGATCTTTTATTGTAGAAGATTGTTTTAGCCATTCTGAGTTTCTTGTTATTCCATACGAAGTTGAGAATTTTTCTATCCAGATCTGTAAAGAATTGTATTGGTAATTTGATGGGAATTGCATTGAATCTGTAGATTGCTTTTTGTAAGATGGCTATTTACTATGTTAATCCTGCTAAGCCATGAGCCTGGGAGATCTTTCCATCTTCTGATATCTTCTTCTAATTCTTTCTTCAGAGACTTGAAATTTTTTTCATACAAGTCTTTGACTTGCTTGGTTAGGTTCACACCATGGTACTTTATGTCATTTGTGGCTATTGTGAAGGGTGTTATTTTCCTAATTTCTTTCTTAGCCCTTTTGTCTTTTGTATACAGGAGGGTTACTGATTTTTTTTTTTTTTAGCTAATTTTGTATCCAGCCCTTTACTGAAGGTGTTTATCAGCTGTAGGAGTTTCCTGGTAGAATTTTTGGGGTCAGGTATACTATCATATCATCTGCAAATAGTGATAATTTGACTTCTTCCTTTCCAATTTGTATCCCCTGGATCTCCTTCAACTGTCTTATTGCTCTAGCAAGGACTTGCAGAACTATGTTGAAGAGATATGGAGAGAGTGGGCAGCCTTGCCTTGTCCCTGACTTCAGTGGGATTGATTTAAGTTTCTCTCCAATTAGTTTGATGTTGGCTATATGCATGCTGTATATTGCCTTTACTATGTTTAGAAATTTGCCTTGTATCCCTGATCTCTCCAAAACTTTAAACATAAATGGATGTTGGATTTTGTCAAATGCTTTTTCAGCATCTAAGGAGATTATTATGTGGCTTTTTTCTTTCAGTTTGTTAATATTGTGGATCACATTGATGGATTTCTGTATATTGAACCACTCCTGCATGCCTGGGATGAAGCCTACTTGGTCATAGTGGATGATATCTTTTTGTGTTCTTGTATTCGGTTTGCAAGTATTTTGTTGAGTATTTTTACATCAATGTTCATAAGGGAGATTGGCCTGGCCTGAAATTCTTTTTCTTTGTTGAGTCTTTGTGAGGTTTAGGTACCAAGGTGACTGTGGCTTCATAGAATGAGTTTGGTAATGTTCCTTCTGTTTCTATTTTGTGGAATAGTTTGAAGAGTATTGGAGTTAGCTCTTCTTTGAAGGTCTGGTAGAATTCTGCTCTGAAACTATCTGGTCCTGGGCTTTTTTTTTTTTTTTGGATGGGAGACTTTTGATGACCGCTTCTATTTCCTTAGGGGATATAGGACTATTTAATTGATTTACCTGGTCTTGATTCCCACTTAGTAGATTTTAATAACCTTAAGTTTATACAGTTTCCCCAAGAGACTCTCATTCCAACTTTGCACGCATTTCTTTTACCTGAAAATACCCTTCCGCCATTCCTCCAGAATTTCTACTTATATGTTAAGACCTCCTTCTGCTGGACTCCCTATACTCTTATAGCAGAGACGGGTGTGCTGAAGTAAAGAGACCTTCTCTGCAATGCAGGATGTCAAGCCTGGGGAGTCCAGCATGCTAGGCAAGCATTCTACTAACACACGCCCAGCCCCCACACTCTGCTTCTTTCATAGATGTAGCCCCAAGTCTCAGTGGTTCAGCAACATAAGATTGTTTTCCAATTGTGGCTGTGCTGGTGGTGGGGGTGGAGCCCTCCTCCACCAGTGATGTGGGGCCAAGCTTTTTCTGTTGTAAGCTTTGTGGACTTTAGCATGGAGTTCTGCAGGAAGTGGAAGTCGTCACTGTCCAGGCCTGCATTGGCTCTCAGTGCTTTGACTCCCTTTCCTGTGGCTCCATCTCAGCCCCTTGGCTCTTCATTTGTGAAGGGGTCTTACTTTTCTTTTGCTGTGAAGACACATCATGACCAAGACAACTTCTAAATGAAGTTATTGGGGCTTACCATTTCAGAGTGAGTCCATGACTCTTACAGTGAAGGTCTTATTTAGAGTTTCTGTTGCTGTAATGAAACTCTTTGACCAAAAGGAACTTAAAGAGGAAAGGATTTATTTTACTAACACTTCCACATAACAGTTCATCATTGAGTGAGGGCAGGAACTGGAGAGAGGAGCTGATGCAGAGGCCATGGAGGGTGCTGCTCACTGACTTGCTCCTCATGGCTTGCTCAGCCTGTTTTATTATAGCACTGAGAGGACCAGCAGCCCAGGGGTGGCACCACCCACAATGGGCTGGGCCTTCCCACATCACTGTTTAAGAAAACATCCTATAAGTTTGTATAGCCCAACCTGATAGAAGTAGTTTCTCAACGGGGTTTCCTTGCTTTCAGATGACTATAGTGTATGCTAAGTTGACTTTAAAAACTATCTGGCACATCAGGAAATAATGAACTTCCTATATGTATCAGAAGAAGAGGAAGTGGGTTGATGGACTCACAGAGGTCTTTGAAATGTACCTTTTAAGTATCTTTCATTGTTTCCATAAAGTTTTAAATAATGTATAAGTCAGTCTACCTTACTTCTTACTTAGGATGCAGGCCGGCTTATTGAAGGCAGGGGCTCCTTTGGTCTTGCTTCATTGTCTCAGTTTTTCTAGCTCCATCATTATCCTTATAGCATCATTGTAAGACCATGCCTCAGTGCTCTATGTAAACTGAACGGTGTTGTCATTACAGGTTCTAATCAAAGTCTACGCCTGTGGTGTCAACCCAGTAGAGACATATATTCGCTCTGGTGCCTACAGTCGGAAACCCGTCTTACCCTACACCCCAGGCACGGATGTGGCTGGGGTCATAGAATCTGTTGGAGACAGTGTATCTGCTTTCAAGGTATTCTATTCTCAATTGTTTCTATTTTGACTTAATTACATTCTTCTGAAATTTATTGATAGCTTTAAAATGTACTAGTTGCACATTTTCTGCCACTTGGGGGATTCCTAGTTAAAAAAGAAGCTATTTCTTAGCCAGAGACCTTGTTTGTCTGTTGGGAATCAGTCCTGAGTAATTTTTGTGTCACCACAACTCCTGAATGCACTGTGGTCCATTTAGTCTAGTAGAAATGTGTCAGTGAAGAAAACAATATAGGGGTGTGACATATGGCCCAACTTTTGTCATATGCAGACAGAATTTCTTAACTCTTTTAGGGGGGAAATAAAGCATGAACATATGCAAAGTTACTGTGCAGTTTGGGAGTTAAGATCAGGGCTGTTATCAGGGCTGTCCTTACTGTCCTGCCAAGAGACATGCCCAGCATGGATGGTGCCTTTGTAGCACGTTTATGCCTGCTTTCTTCCCTCTTAATTTCTCAACCTGCTCAACTTTGCCACCATAGTTACCAAAAACGGTCTGAGTAAGAGAAATATAATGTGTCCCCATGCAAGGAGTGGACAGATTCCTGCAGCTTTCCACTTCTTAGTCATGGCAATCTGTGCCCACAACATCTCTAAATATTTTTTGCTAATGCCACTGATGGTCTCTAGACTCCCAGACTCAGTGGACCCTTCTATGTCATTATCTTTCTTCACTTTCCCTTGACATTTGACACTCTCATTCTCTTAACTTTTTCTTAAACAAGAAAAACAAAACCCAGCCTTCACTTTGCCATCTGTTCTGTGTCCCTTTCTCAGAGAATCCTTATGTTTTCATCCTTGCTCTTTGGATGCTCCCCTGATCCTGTTGCCTCAAGTTCTTAATCCCAGCCAGATCCCTGCTCTCTGTATTCATTCTTTTCCCACAGTAATCCACAGCCCTAGGCAACCTCTTTTTCCTTTCTCATGCCCAATGTCTTTAGCTTTGAATATTCAACTAAGACCGGGGACTGTCTGAAATGGTACTCGCTGCCAGCATTTGGAAAATCAAACAAATAAATTCCCATTATAAGTCAGTTCCTATGTCACAGTAGTGACTTTTCAAGGGCTTGATAGTCCTGTGCACCTAGCTGCTCCCTTTTCTAAACAGGGCAGTGTAAGATATGCCCGTCACCTCAGACGCCTCCCCTGGGGGAGTGCTGTGTCCTGCTGGTCTTTTCCCAGGAAGCCTGTCCTCAGTCTATCAAAAGCTGAGCTCATCTGTGCCCACTGATGGCTGACTGTCTTGGTGACAGCAGGTTTGTAAGGCCCAGCCCAGCCCACCAACCCCAGTGCTAAGAATACCATCAGACAGCATCTACGGCCAGTAGCAGAGAATTCCTTGCTCTGCTGTGTGCCTACCATGATGCTCCCACTAATGTATTTGAAAGTGCCTTGATTTATGGCTTTTTTTTTGTTCTTTTACTTCATGAAACTGTTAGCGCTTTGGAATATAGCTCTTGAGTTGACTTACATCTCTGTTCCCAGGCTGAGGATCTAGCATGAACTCTTACTCCCTCTGAGGTGAGAACTATGTGTTTGTATGAGCAGGAGGAAATGCTTGTCACGTCTCCGCATTTGCTCTGAGCCCTCTCTGTTGCCACCTGGCTTCCTTCACAGTGTCCCTCGTTCTAGCTCTGTTCTTCAGATTATCCTGAACTTTAGACCTGCCTCAAACACTCCTGCCCTGTGGAGCTTCTTCCATCTTCCCAGCTTAAACTCCTTCTCTTCCTGTTCTCTGCCCTGTCTTACCATGTTTGCATACTTTACGATGGCGTGTCTTCCTTTCCCTCCTCCTAGAGGTGTGCCAGCCTAAGATTTGGGGCAGTGTGTCACTGTTCATATCCTTCACAGAACTCTGAAGCAATAATTTCCTTCTGGTGGGTTCTATTTCTCAAATGCATATGGACTTTATTTATTTATAATAAGCCACATATAGTAAGAACAGTTATGAAACAACCAGGAGAGCCATGTGCAAAAGTTATGTTCAAAATGTTTAGCTCATTTTTATTCATCAACCTTGAAGAAAATACTACCTCTCCTATCCAGGAGAGTCTAAAGTTTTGTACCTAAATCATTCTCTATCACACCGAAATCAACCAGGCCTGTTTTCAAACCACAAAATTGGGATTCATCCTAATTGAGTCTACCTTGACCATTCACAGACAGCACTGTGCAGTGGCCACACTTGCCTTCGGCTTGCAGTTTCCTTCCGAAGCTTTTCCACATGCATCCTGGAGCACAGTGCTGTTAGCTTTTCCTGTTTATTATAGGGCCAGTTGAGATACCGAGGCCACTGTTGCTCAGTATTTCATCTATTACGTGTCCTGTCCACTTTCTTACATACTTTTTTCTAAAGATGTAGGCTAGATGTTCAGGTGGCCAGCCATTTCCATGGCTAGGGCAGCATGTGGCCATTAGCAGGTGCTTTGTTTCCTTCTGTGAGAGGCAATGGGATATGCGCTGTCTCTTTCTGATATCTCCAGGTGTTGCTTAATTGGAGGAAACTGTGGTGTCCTGGTCTGTAGTGGGGATGGTAGTGTGCACCTTCGCTGGGCCACTGTGGTGGTTACGTAGAAGATACAGTGTCTGGCTTAGTAAGAGCTCAGCAGAGCTGCTGTAGCATTCCCGGTGTTGCAATTCCATCTGAGGATGTCCTTCTGTTCTCCCGTCTCCTTCCATGCTTCTTTTCATAACTTCCCACTTCGAAAAGCATGTATAGAGAGAGGTTCAGTGTTTCAGTTGTGTTTATGAGACGCTGAGATGAAGACATCATATGTAAATGATTGTTTCTTACTGTAAAGTGGTGTTGTAAAGGTCTCATCCATCTTGGCATAATAGGAGTCAGAGCTGCATGTACTTCTTGACCTCTGTTTCAGAAAGGCGACAGGGTCTTCTGCTCCAACACAGTCTCTGGTGGTTACGCAGAGTTTGCCCTTGCAGCAGATGACACTGTGTACTCCCTGCCCGAGACACTGGACTTCAGACAGGGGGCTGCACTGGGCATCCCGTACTTCACAGCCTGCCGAGCTCTCTTCCACAGGTGAGTGGCACTCTGATTGCACATGCAGGAAGCTCTCATCACCTTCCTCCCTACCTGGACTGTCATTTCTGGCTGCTGGTCATTTGCTAGCCAGATTGTGACAGAGGGGACAGATATTTGATCATTTTGAGGACAAAAGAGGAAATTAGTCTTTTGGGAGGAGGTCGTTTTCTCAGAAGACAGGAGTCAGGAATGAGCTATTGGTGCATGCTCTGAGGAAGGGATGTGTCTTTGCCTTAGTCACTGTTCTATTGCTGTGAAGACACATGGCAATTCTTAGAAAGGAAAGCATTTAATTGGAGGCTTGCTTTATAGTCTCAGAAGTTTACTCCATTGTCGTCAGGACAGAGAGCATGGCAGCAGGCAGCCATGATGCCGAGAGCTGCATCCTGACCCACAAGCAAGGAGAGTGAACCTGGGCCTGGCTTGCTCTCTTGAAATCTCCAAGCCCAACTTCAGTGATACACTTCCTCCAACAAGGCCATACCTCCTAATCCTTCTAATCCTGTCAAATAGTGCTACTCCCTGGTGACTAAACATTCAAATATATTAGTAGTATGGGGGTGGGGGCCACAGAGTAGCCTTGGCTATCTTTGAACTTAGAGACCTGCCTGCCTGGGCCTCCTGACTGCTGGGATTAAAGGCATGTACTGCTTCCGCCCTGGCTAGAGGGCCATTTTTGTTCAAACCACTGTAGTCTTACTTTTCTGTTACTGTGATATGATACCATGACCAAGGCAACTCACTTATAGAAGAAAGTATGTATCAAGCCTTACCATTCCAGAGGTGACTATGACCGTTATGGTGGGAGTATGGCAGCAGTCAGACAGCTGTGGTGCTGTAGCAGTGGTTGAGAGCTTATATTTGATCCACTATCACAAGGCGTTGATGGGGTGAGGGGAGACTTTTAAAACCTCAGACTCCACCCCCAATGACACTTCTTCAACAAGACCATACCTCCTAATCTCAAACAGTCCCACCAACTGGGACCAAGTGCTCAAATACATGAGCCCATGTGGGCTATCCTCAAACTACCATAATATTAGAAGAGGGTTTTATTTACTTGTTTTCTTGAAGGATCAGCCAGGATGACCATGTTTAGAACTGAGAGGATGTAGTGGAAGAGTAGAGGGATGCAAATAGACTCTGCAAGAAAAGATGGAAAGTGTTCCAGGCCGAGGCAGGGAGGGTTTCCGACTTCACAAGGAAGCCCAGACATGAGACCTAGAAGAATAAAGATGTAGTTATGGAAACATTTGTAGGTAGGAGGCAGGATACTGAAGAAGTGTTTATATATTTGACAATCAGAGATGAGAGTATAAAAGTTCAAGGCCATGAGATTTCCTTCTACATTTGTTATGCATTTGCAGCTATTTCAAAGGAGGCAGGTTTTCTGATTAACCCAGAGCTCTTTGGTGGCAAGATGAAATCAGGCAAAGGAAATAACAGCTCTAAAGAGAGGGCACAGCCAAAAGGGCAGAGAGGAGCTGCCTGGTGTCTGGTACTTCTCTGGGCATGTTCCTGTTGAATGTGGAAGAGGGTGGATGAAGGGGAAGGGAACACAGGACTGCAGGTCGACATCCAGAACACAGCTAGGCTGGAGTTGAATAATTAGAAACCATAGGAGTTAGGGAGTTAAAATAAACATGGTTTGAGCCCTAGGGCATAGGGCCGATGACTGTCACAAACACAGATCAGCAAGCGGCATGTGAGTGTTTCTGTCTACTGGCTGTATGCACACACATTTTTAAATTCAATTAGACATGTATAGATTGAGTAATGATTTTAAAGACCTGGATCCCAAATTATAGAGGTGTATGAGGTCTAAATTTGGTGGACAAGGACCACAGTATGGAAACTTGAACAGCTGCAGCGTAAGCCTCAGTCAGCTGGCACAGTTGCCTCTGCCTTGACTGAATGAGGTCCACCCGCACGGCAAATGGATAAGACTGTCAATTAAATGTTAGTTTTATATAAAAAGCAAACCAAGACAACAACAAAAACAATTTTTCAGGAACATCCACACTGATACTTGAGCAATTCTGAGGTGCTTTTCCCCAGTCACGTTGTTATATAACAATGGTCCATGACTGTGTGCAGGCAACATGGCAGAGCAGTGGGTGTGAGGGAGAAGGTTTGCTGCCTTTCTTCCTTTGACTCTAGGCCTTGACATTGGGGAAAGTGTGTCCCTTCGTGTTTGAGGGCTCTGACACACTTATCAAGCTGTATTTATCTCGGGGTATGTTGTTAGCGATTCTACTCCCTACATTGTGTGTTTGAGGTATCAGGGTTTCGGATACTCATTATCTCAGTTTATCACTTAAACTCTGTCCCTCTCTCTGAACTCATCAGTAAGCAAGAGTAAGAGAGGCTTCGTTGATTGCAGCCTGGAAGCCATGAGCTCAAGCCGTTGTGTTCTCATTCTGAGGGAACAGGGTCTCCAAACCGGGGCCATCCCTCCGTAATCCGCAGTGAGGGGGAACATGAGGCATCTGTGATGACATGAAGGTCCGAATGTGAGCAGTAAAGGGCTCCCCATGGTGACTTGGTGTTTGTTCCTAGCATCCAGTGTATAAAATAGTGCAGTAATGTAGCACAGGTGAAAAGCCTGCACATTTTAGGGAGTGGCATGGGGACCTTGGGGACTCAACACTGGCTCTTGGGGATCCGTCAGAGCTGACTTTTAGAGGTGTGGGAAAGCAAGGGCATGTTCTTAGCACTGGTCAAAAGCAGCCTGCCTGCTGTTACCTGGGGAACCCTGGACCACAGGATAAAGACTGAGCTGCAGCAAACTTGTCTGGGGACACGCTGTAGGGACGCCTGGAACTGAGGGACTCCAGTTCTGGTTTGGAAGTTCCACCAACACACAAGGGCTAGGCATTGCAGTGTGATTCCTGCGTTCAGCCTGGCTGCAGCCGGTAACAGACACCCAGTGCCATCTCCTGACTGCGGAAAGTTTGTCTTCATTGCGGCTCTTGGGACTATCCTTTGAGCCTGGAGTGAGTGTTAGGCTGTGGTAGCTCTTCCGGTGTTCTCTGAAGCAAGAGTAGAAATTCCTCAAAGATAACAGAAAGCACTGCTCTTGGTTAGCTTCGAAGGAGAGAGTGATGGTGCCTCTGCTTTGTTCTGCAGTGCCCGTGTGCGAGCTGGGGAAAGCGTTCTGGTTCATGGGGCAAGTGGAGGGGTAAGTATCTGTATTTTTAAGTTTGTGTTTCAGTGAGCATGGAGTTATGGGTCTCACATAATAGTTCCTGAAACTGCTTTACCCTTTTACTTTTTAAATTTTAAAAATTATTCTTTGAGAACGTTATACATGTTTTCAGTGTGTTTGCTCTTATCTCCCAAGATGTGGCTCCAACCCCAAGTCTTCTCTTCTTTTTTTCTCTGACAATATATTCAGTAACATATATATATATATATATATATATATATAGAGAGAGAGAGAGAGAGAGAGAGAGAGAGAGTTCATATTGTATCAGCCATGTTATTTCTAGAAAATGCTGTTTTCTTTTTTTTTATGTTAGTTACAGTTTATTAACTTTGTATCCCAGCTGTATCCCCCTCCCTCATTCCCTCCCAATCCCACACTCCCTCCCTCATCTCCTCCCAGCCCCTTTCCAAGTCCACTAATGGGGGAGGACCTCCTCCCCCTTCATCTGACCCTGGTTTATCAGGTATCTTCAGGACTGGCTGCAAAGTCCTCCTCTGTGGCCTAGCAGGGCTGCTCCTCCCTTGGTGGGGGGAGGTCAAAGAGCCTGCCAAATAACCCATTGTATCCAAAATCAGTGCTCCCCAGATGAGAAGCAGGAGCACAGTGTACCCAGCAGGTACACCCCTGAGAAAAACTGGCCCTTGGCAAGGTCTTGTGACTCCCTCCTCTATCCATGCTGCGGTTCTGACATTGTACAGAGGGAGACCATTTTGAAGATCCGAATTTATAGTCATGCCTCTCTCCCGACTTAATGCCATGAAACCTCTTCAAATGCCTGCTTCTCAGTGGAATTAATGGCTGATGCTATAGCACTCTCGCTTAATGAATTCAGCAGGCTACCTCATAAAAAATCATTATGTCTCTGTGAGTTCAAGGTCAGCCTGGTCTACACAGTGAGTCCAGGCTAGGGCCACACAGAATCTTGAAAAACAAAGCAAAAAAAGGAGAAGGTAGATTTTCTACCTATGTTGGGAGTGTACCAAGACTGTCCTTGCTTTTGCCTTCATGTGGCATTGTTCTTAGAATTATGTGGCATTTAAAGTGTTCTAAAGGTTAACAATCTAAAGGTTCCTATTCCCTTAGGTAAGAAAATAAATCTCATTAAACCTCTCAGCCAGTGGTCAGCTTTCCTTCTGCCCAGCCTCCCTGCACGCGCGCGCACACACACACACACACACACTTTAATGGCATCCAAGGCTGAAAATGTTAATGTCCAGTGGGGGAAAGGACTCAGAACCCAGCACCTAAGCCTCTCAGTAATCACCAAACACAGCACTGACAGAATCCTCTTCAGGTCCCTCTCTGCCAGCCTGTCTCAAGGAGCATGGAGGGGAAACTAGAGCTGAGTGTGGAATGTGCTGGCCCAGCACAGGGCGACAGCAGGTTTAGCATGTATAAAGTCAAGGGCCTGGGAGTGATAGCTTACCTTCCGCTCAGCCTTCAGTGTTGGATGTTCTGGGGAGGGCATAGAAAGGAGAAGCTCATTACAGGGCTGATAATGATGGCCATGCCTTGGCGTTATCACTCTGCCTCTAAAAGAGCCCAAGTAACTAAGAAAGTCAGACCGCTTTGTGTCTCTTTAGAGATGAACATCCTTATTTCATGTCTGGCTTCCTATATGACTCAGAGATCAGTCCTCAGGGATTTCACAGATCAGACTATTTACCAAAACAGCCCCAGGTTGTCTGTGGGGCTCGAGAAAATATGACAGCTAAACCTATTGTTTACCATCACCAAAGGCCGGTTAATAACCAGAGGTTTAAAAAACACACATGTTTATTTAAATTGCTGTGGTTGTCTGAGAGCCTTGCGCTCTATAGAGAGGAGATTTTGGTACAGTGGAGAGACAGAGGTGTTTAAAGGAAATCTCTTTATTCCCTTCACACTCCTGTAAAAATAAATCCCTGCTACTTCAGGGGATTGGCTTGCTTTTTTTAAAGGTAAAATCCAAACTGTTGGTTTTTGGAGCTGGCCGAGTCTGCTAAATCCTGGCTGGCTGGGATAGGCTGGTGGCCCAAGTGTGAAGCTGCTCTGATCCTCCAGTCCTATCTGAGGGATGCAGAGCGCTGGCTTTTTCCTGGTTCCTGTTTGTACTCTCTGTCCTCATTCCATTCACATGTCCGCAGGATTATGTGGAGGGTTTAAACCGAGGTGGACTTATGAGCAGCCATTGTCCCAGGACTTTGGTGGGCAGGGCCCCACTTTACTGTGTGTGAGATAAGTGAGAGAAAAGCAACTGGCGGATAGTGGCACGTAATCTCCTGAAAAAATACTACAAGTCTAACTGCTGGCCAGCAGATACCAGCCAGGACCGTTAGAAGATTACTGTGTGGCTCCTCACAGGAGAGCATCAGGCAGCATGTTTGTGTTAAATCTGTGCACAGAATGTGAGTTTAGTAGAGTCATAGTTTTGATAGAACGCTTAAGTCATTTGGAATCAGTTACAATGAGCCATAGTGCAGTGTTTTCTCCCAGTAGATGGGGTCCTGCACGCTTGCTTTGCTTAGGTCATAGGAAGCCTGCCGTGGGTAGCCTCACCCGCCCGGGGCCCTTCCAGTGGCTAACTAACCTATTCCAACCTGGAGTGGAGGGCTGTTCCTACTCAGGGAGCTTCTCTCACCTTTCATTGTAATTATTTTTCCTATCTTGCCTAATTCCATTGGCCTTCCAGACTGTAGCTTCTTCACTTGTTAAGTTGAGGTTTTACATTTCCTTACTGAGTGTGTCTGTGCATGCTCTGGTGGTCAGAGGGCCGTGTGCGTGAATGGGTTCCCTGCCTCCACATGGGTTGCTTGCCTTTGTCGTAGTGGAGAGCAGTCCAACCCTCTGACCCTGTGTCCCCGAGCAATCAATGCCATCTTTGAATTGTATTGTGTTAGAATGTTTGGTTTAATAAGATGGTGTGATATGGGAGAGAATATTCTCAGTGTTGGTCTCTGGCCTCTACATGTGCACTGAGCACGCACACCAGCACCCACACACGTGTATGCACAAGGAAGCTTGAGTTTTATTTTAAAATAAGTCACTAAATTTTGGCAAGAGAGTAGGATAGGGTTTTCAACAGTTTCTGACATGGCCTAACACTCCTGTACTCCATGGTTATGTGGAGTGTCTTTTTACCCTTGGCGGTTGTAAAGTCAGACTAGTGGGCCAAGCCCTGAGGTGCCAGATTTGTGTGTCTGTTTCATGCATCTGCATACCCAAGGTCGTATAAACAATGTCGGGCAAATGGTGGTCAGGAGGAGAAAACATTGAAGAAGTCCTAGTCTACGTAGGAGACTCCGATCTTTAACAGAAAATAACAGCTCACGCTGGACATAGCTGAGGCAGAGGATCACCATGAGTTCAGGCCACAGCCTGGGCTACATAATGAGTTTCTTAAAAGAAAAAAGAAATGGCTGAGTTTTTATTTTCTTTTCAAGCAGTGAGTTTCTAAATTTGACTGAATAGAACTGGGGATATGAAAAACTTAATACAAACCACGTTTGGGAAGGGTTTTGCTTCCTTTCCAAATGGTTGCAGTCAGAAACTCCAAGCCTCGACCTTCTTTGCATCAGCAATTATCAACAGGAAATTTTACACCGCCCCCACTTCCTTGCTGTGTAGCTGTCAATGTCTACAGGGGTCTTTGCACTTCTTGAATGCTTAGACTCTCCAGTGATTGCCATGGCTCTCAATATTATCCACAGTCTTTATCTTACCATGGACCTTGGCCTTTGACCTCTGCTCCACTGGGTCACATGCCCTGTTCCTGGCTCATGCCATCCCTCTTTCTGCCTTTTGAACATCCCAGGCATAGTCCCACTGTACCCATTTAGCCACCCTGCCCTTCACCATCTGCACCCTCAGGCCAGGGTTTGCGGCTTTCCTCCCTACCCCTTTCCTCCAGGACTCGTTTTCTTCTGGTCACTTTTCCTGATGGCCTAGACAGCCCCTCTCCACATGTCTAACCAGGCTGGTTGTTATTTTCCCTAGTACTCTCCATTGATTTCTCTCCCTTGTTAGTTCATGTTTATTACCTTTGCTTCTTCTTAGAAATGTTTTTAACATTAAGTCCGTGGGCATCACCTCTGTCTAACTTATGTGGTGGAGGCCTGATGCCTGTTGTGAAGAATGTGGCATTTAGTTGGTTAAATACAGGCAAGAGGAGCATTGAGCTGAGTCTTGAGGCTGGCACCTCCTGCTCAAAACAGGCGTCAGCAAGTGTTGTGGTGTGGTGGTTGGTGGTCTGAGATCTGGGCAAGGCTGCTGTATTTAACAATTTACACTTCCTCATCAGCATAACCCAGCCGGTGATGGAGACCTCAGCCAGCACCTGATGGAGAATGCTTCTTTCCCTCAGGATAGGTAAACATTAGAGCCGTGGCCTTCCTTTCTATAGTTCCTCATGCTGTGGTGACCCCAGCCATAAGATTCTTTTCATTGCTACCTCATAACTGTGACTTTGCTTCTGTTATGACTTGAAATGTAAAGATCTGTGTTTAATAATGGTCTTAGTTGTTTAAGTCTCCAAAGGGATTGTGACCACTACCATGCCCCGTGGACATGGGAGGCCTTTTGGGGAGGCAGAGAGCATGTAATGTCAAGGTTATATTTTATTTTTCAGGTTGGATTAGCTTCATGCCAGATTGCCAGAGCTCATGGTCTAAAGGTTTTGGGCACAGCTGGTTCTGAGGAAGGAACAAAGCTTGTTCTGCAAAATGGAGCCCATGAAGTGTTTAATCACAAAGAAGTTAATTATATTGATAAAATAGAGGTAAAGTTTTCTGCAGTTTACCAAAGTCAACCATTGCTTCTGAGAGACTTACTTAGTTTTTAAAATAAGTTATTTGAACAATTACCCTCTTAGTGAATTGATATGACTTTGCTTAACAAATAAAATTACTTGCATTTTCATATCTATAGAGGCTGTCATCCCCATATGTGTTTTAATTGATTTAAAGGCACAGGCACCTGGTATTCCAGTGTTTGCTGTCATGTTTGTGTCGTGCTTGCATATTAAATGAGATGTAGCTTTCCATTGAAAGATGACATCATAAGGAAAGCTTGCAGCTACAAGACGCTCTTAGTGCAGCTGTTACAGATGTGAAATTCCATTGCGGCTGAGGTTCTCACAATTACAAATCAGATGTGCCTGTCCTGGGAAGATGCTGCTTGTGATCAGGGCCCTTGGGGAGGGATAGTGACTATCCCCTCGGTGAGAGACGATCAGATCATTGTTGCGTATGGCACACTTCCTTCGGGATCTTATCTGTCTGTTTTGCCTGGCAAGTGCTTTGCCACTGGCTTGCCTGAAGTCCCTATTTGTATACTACTAACTCAGCACTCCCTCCCCCGCCACCCTCAGAAGCACTTGAGCCAAGAGAATGAGAATTTCCCAGGCGCTGAGTGCTTTATAGAGGTCATTACCCAAGGAAGAATATGTGGGTGGGTGTATTCCACCTTGCCAGAAATGACCGACCGGTCAAGGCTCTGCTGTGCCATGCACAGGGGAGCTGGCACCCTGTGATCCCTCCTGATGCCTTTCTCAGGACTGTCTCAAAGGTGAGCAAAGATGGGTGATGGGGTAAGTGGCTGCTTGTTTCTCCAGCGTTGGCCTTCAGGCCACTGCTCCTTCTCCGCCCCCCCTGCCCCCCCGTGCTGTTCTGCCTTCCTGTAGTTTGACATACAGGGGGGTCAGTGGTGTGTCCTGTGTCCAGGCTGGGCTTGTATCTGTCTTCATTCTCAGGAGCATGAGATCTGGATTGCATATTTTGGAAACTGTGCTCCTACACACTGACTTCACTATCAACCTCCTTCCTCCTTGTTACATGTTGTATACCTGTGTCTGTGAGCGCTTGGTTTGCTCTCTGACCTGAGCTCCCTCTCTTTGTGTCACTAGCTAGCAGTCATTGCCACTCATCTGTCACCCTCACAGGAACCCTCATTGCCTGTGTCTGTTTTCAGATTGTTGTGTGTGTGTGTGTGTATGTGTGGTGCATGTTTATGTGTGTGTGTGCACCTGTGCATGGATGTGTGGAGGACAGAGCTTAATCTTTTGTCATCCTCCACCTTATATTCTGAGACCGTGCCTCTCAGTGAGCTGGAGCTCACCATTCCCTCCTGGCTGGACAGCAAGACCGAGATCTGTGCATCTCTGCCTCCTGCTCTTTCCGTGGTGCTGGCTGTGGAGAAGCTTCTGCAGCAGCCAGGTTGCCCTGAGCTGCCTCCCCGTCAGCCTACCCCTGCTGCCCTTCGAGTTGGTTTTACCCTGACAAGCATCTCAATGTTCCTGTCGTCTGCTGTATAAGCCTGCATTACCTCAGCCTTGATGAGTGTCTCTGAGCTCAGAGCCCCTATCTTCTACGTTCCCAGCAGTCTTTGCCCCTTTAAATATCTGTGTCAAGAGATAACTAAAATGGAACTCTGTCCAAAGTGGAATATAAACAAGAACAAAACACCTAGTTCTTCTCTTATCACACCGCTCAGCATGTTTACTGTAAGTTTACATTTTCTTCTCCCACAACACTGTGGCTTGAAGGCATGTTCCCCAAAGGTCCTGGTGTAGCTTCCCTCATCTTCCTTCTTAGGTTTAGGAGACTCTGCCTCATACTCCAGGTCATTTCCTCTGAGGAACTTTCTTTGGCCAGTGTAGGCAATTAAAGTTCACTCTTTCCTTCTGTAACTCATGGCACACCTCTGCTAGTACAGATCCCAAGCTTTATATGAAAGGAGTACATGTGTGTTTTCTAGCCTGAGTCCTAGTCTTAAGTTTATTGCATCCGTTCTTTGCCTTCTGTCACAACGCCTGGTGTAAGTACTCCTTTCTTGTTAAAATAAAACAAAGCAAATATAACTGCAATAAAGATAACATTGCTGGTTCTTCAAGAACAAGTTTTAAATGTAGAGAACCAATACCTAGCAGTGTAGACAGAAAGAATCCATATATCAAGCAGATGATAAACCACATATAACACAACTGAATATACACACAGGCAGAAATACACACCACAGCCACCCACAGATACACACCTACTACCCTCCCCATGCAGGTACCCACCCAGGCCCATCCACCCCACACAGATAAACAGGCATACACACTCACAGGTACTCACATGCACACAAGCACACAGCATCCATATAGAATTTCTCTGATTATGGCAGTTTATCTGACGCTTCTGAGTTCGAACTACAGTGTTGCTGTTTTTTTGTTTTGTTTTGTTTTTTAAATGGCGTGAATTAAGCTTTTTTAAAAAATATTTTTTAATTTACTTTATTTACTTTGTATCCCCCCTCTAGTTCCCTTCCTCCTCCCCTCCCAATCCCTCCCTTTCTTCCCCTTCTCTACCCACTCCCCTCCCCAAGTCCACTGGTAGGGGAGGGTTCCTTTTTCTTCCTTCTGAACCTAGTCTGTTAGGTCTCATCAGGAGTGGCTGTATTGTCTTCCTCTGTGGCCTGGTAAGGCTGCTTCCCCCTCAGGGAGAGGTGATCAAAGAACAGGCCAATCAGTTTATGTCAGAAGCAGTCCCTGTTCCCATTATTATGAAAACCACTTGGACACTGAACTGCCATGGGCTACATCTGTGCAGGGGTTCTAGGTTATCTCCATGCATGGTAATTGGTTGGAGTATGAGTCTCAGAAAAGACCCCTGTGCTCAAATTTTTTTGGTTCTGTTGCTCTCCTTGTGGACCAAAAATAGATCTCCAGATCTAACTATTATTTCCCACTTCTTTCATAAGATTCCATGCACTCTGCCCAAAGTTTGGCCATAAGCATCTGCTTTGATAGTCTGTCTGCAGGGCAGAGCCTTTCAGGAGGAAAGGGAGGCTCCTAACTTGTTTCCTGTTTTCTTCTTCTGGTGTCCATCCTCTTTGCCCTTCTGAATGGGGATTGAGCATTTTAGTCAGAGTCCTCCCTCTTGATTAGTTTCTTTAGGTGTACAGATTTTAGTCGGTTTATCCTATATTATATGTCTATATGAGTGAATATATACCATGTGTGTCTTTCTGCTTCTGGGATAGCTCACTCAGGATGATCCTTTCCAGATCCCACCATTTACCTGCAAATTTCATGATTTCCTTGTTTTTCATTGCTGAGTAATATTCCATTGTGTAGATATACCACAATTTCTGTATCTATTCTTCAGTTGAGGGGCATCTGGGTTGTTTCCAGCTTCTGGCTATTACAAGTAAAACTGCTACAAACATGGTTGAGCAAATGTCCTTATTGTGTACTTGAGCCTCTTTTGGATATATGCCTAGGAGGAATCGCTGGGATCCGAGGAAGCGCTATTCCTTGTCTGAGAAAGCGCCAGATTGATTTCCAGAATGGTTGTACAAGTTTACATTCCCACCAGCAGTGGAGGAGGGTTCCCCTTTCTCCACAACCAGCATGTGTTGTCACTTGAGGTTTTGATCTTGGCCATTCTGATGGGTGTAAGGTGAAATCTCAGGGTCATTTTAATTTGCATTTCCCTGATGGCTAATGAGGTTGAACATTTCTTTAAATGTTTCTCTGCCATTCAATATTCCTCTATCTAGAATTCTCTGTTTACCTCTGTTCCACATTTTTTAATTGGATTACTTGGTTTGTTGCTTTTCAACTTCTTTAGTTCTTTATATATACTGGATATTAGTCCTCTGTCAGATATAGGGTTGGTGAAGATTCTTTCCCAATCTGTAGGCAGTCGTTTTGTTTTGATGACTGTGTCCTTTGCTTTACAGAAGCTTTTCATTTTCATGAGGTCCCATTTATTGATTGTTGCTCATAGAGCCTATGCTGTTGGTGTTCTGTTCAGGAAGTTGTCTCCTGTACCAGTGAGTTCTAGAGTCTTCCCCACTTTTTCTTCTAACTGATTTAATGTGTCTGGTTTTATGTTGAGGTCTTTGATCCAATTGGATTTTAGTTTTGCGCAGGGTGATAAGTATAGATCTATTTGCATTTTTCTATATGTAGACATTCAGTTAGACCAGCACCATTTATTGAAGATGCTATCTTTTTTCCATTCTATGGTTTTGGCATGTTTGTCAAAGATCAGGTGTCCATAAGTGTGTGGATTTTTTTTCTGGGTCTTCTGTTCGGTTCCATTGATCCACCAGTCTGTTTCTATGCCAGTACCATGCAATTTTTAGTATTGTTGCTCTATAGTACAGCTTCAGATCAGGGATGGAGATACCTCCAGAAGATCTTTTATTGTAGAGGATTGTTTTAGGAATTCTGGGCTTCTTGTTATTCCATATGAAGTTGAGAATTTTTCTTTCCATGTCTGTAAAGAATTGTGTTGGTAATTTGATGGGAATTGCATTGAATCTGTAGATTGCTTTTGGTAAGATGGTCATTTTTCCTATGTTAATCCTGCCAAACCATGAGCATGGGAGATCTTTCCATCTTCTGATATCTTCTTCTAATTCTTTCTTCAGAGATTTGAAATTTTTTTCATTCAAGTCTTTGACTCTGTTGGTTAGGGTTACACCAAGGTACTTTATGTTTTTTGTGGCTATTGTCAAGGGTGTTGTTTCCTCAATTTCTTTCTCAGCCCTTTTGTCTTTTGTATACATGAGGGCTACTGATTTTTTGAGTTAATTTTTTACCCAGCCACTTTGCTGAAGGTGTTAATGAGCTGTAGGAGTTCCCTGGTAGGATTTTTGGGATCAGTCAGGTATATTATCGTATCATCTGCAAATAGTGATAATTTCACTTCTGCCTTTCCAATTTGTATCCCCTTGATCTCCTTCAATTGTCTTATTGCTCTAGCAAGGACTTGCAGAACTATCTTGAAGAGATATGGAGAGAGTGGGCAGCCTTGCCTTGTCCCTGACTTCAGTGGGATTGCTTTAAGATTCTCTCCATTTAGTTTGATGTTGGCTATAGGCTTGCTGTATATTGCCTTTACTATGTTTAGAAATTTGTCTTGTATCCCTGATCTCTCCAAAACTTTAAACATGAATGGATGTTGGATTTTGTCAAATGCTTTTTCAGCATCTAAGGAGATTATCGTGGTTTTTTTTCTTTCAGTTTGTTAACATGGTGTATCACATTGATGGATTTCCGTATATTAAACCATCCCTGCATGCCTGGGATGAAGCCTACTTGTTGTGTTCTTGTATTTGGTTTGCAAGTATTTTGTTGAGTATTTTTACATCAATGTTCAGGATATTAAGGGAGATTGGCCTGAAATTCTCTTTCTTTGTTGGGTCTTTGTGAGGTTTAGGTACCAAGGTGACTGTGGCTTCATAGAATGAGTTTGGTAGTGTTCCTTCTGTTTCTATCTTGTGGAATAGTTTGAAGAGTATTGGAATTAGCTCTTCTTTGAAGGTCTGGTAGAATTCTGCTCTGAAACCATCTGGTCCTGGGCTTTTTTTTTTTTTTTTTTTTTTTTTTTTGGGAGACCTATATCCCCTATTTCCTTAGGGGATATAGGACTATTTAATTGATTTACCTGGTCTTGATTCAGTTTGGTAAGTGGAATTGATCAAGAAAATTGTGCATTTCATTTAGATTTTCAAATTTTGTGGCATATAGTCTTTTGAATTAAGTCCTAATGATTGTTTGGATTTCCTCAGTGTCTGTCATTATGTCCCCCTTTTCATTTCTGATTTTGTTGATTTGGATATTGTCTCTTTGCCATTTAGTTAATTTGGCTAAGGGTTTGTCTATCTTGTTGATTTTCTCAAAGAATCAGCTCTTGGTTTCATTGATTCTTTGAATTGTTTTATTTGTTTCTAATTGATTGATTTCAGCCCTGAGTTTGATTATTTCCAGCTGTCTACTCCTCTTTGGTGTGTCTGCTTCTTTTTTTTCTAGGGCTTTTATTTGAGCCATTAAGTTGCTGGCATGAGAGGTTTCGAATTTCTTCTTGAAGGCACTTAGTGCTATGAACTTTCCTCTTAGCACTGCTTTCATTGTGTCCCATAAGTTTGGGTATGTTGTGCCTTCTTTTTCATTGAATTCTAGGAATACTTTGATTTCTTTCTTTATTTCTTCCCTGACCCAACTGTCATTGAGTAGCAAGTTATTTAGTTTCCATGTATGTATAGGCTTTCTGTTATTTCTTTTGTCGTTGAGATCCAGTTTTAGTCCATAGTGGTCAGATAGGATACATGGGATTATTACAATCTTTTTGTAATTGTTGAGTCTTGTTTTGTGACCAATTATATGGTCTATTTTGGAGCAGGTTACATGAGGTGCTGAAAAGAAGGTAAATTCTTTTGTGTTTAGGTGAAAGGTTCTGTAGACATCTGTTAGGTCCATTTGATTCATGACCTCTGTTAGAGTCATTGTTTCTTTGTTTTACTTCTGGTTTGTTGACCTGTCTTTTGTTGAGAGTGGGGTGTTGAAGTCTCCCACTATTAATGTGTGAGGATCTATGTGTGGTTTCAGTTTTATTAATGTTTCTTTTACAGATGTGGATGCTTTTGTGTTTGGGGCATATATGTTCAGAATTTTGGTGTCTTCTTGGTGGAGTTTTCCTTTGATGAGTATGAAATGACCTTCCCCATCTCTTTTGATTAATTTTGGTTGAAAGTCTATTTTATTAGATATTAGAATGGCTACTCCTGCTTGCTTCTTGTGTCCATTTGCTTTGAAAACTGTCTTCCAGCCCTTTACTCTCAGGTAATGTCTATCTTTGTGACTTAGGTGTATTTCGTGTATGCAGCAGATTGTTGGGTCTTTTTTGTGTATCCATTCTGTTAGTCTTTGTCTTTTTATTGGAGAGTTGAGTCCATTGATGTTAAGGGAGATTAATGACCAGTGGCGGTTAGATGCTTTGATTTTGCTGCTGGCTACAGTAGTGTGTTTGTGTGTTTGGCTACTTTTGGTTTTGCTGTAGTGAGGTTATTTGTTTCCCGTGTTTTCCTGAATGTAGTTAGTTTTCCTGGGTTGTATTTTTCTTTCTAGTGTCTTCTGTTATGTTGGATTTGTGGGTAGGTATTGTTTGAATTTGTTTTTGTCATTGAATATCTTGTTTTCTCTATCTATGATGACTGAGAGTTTTGCTGGATATAATAGCCTGGACTGACATCTGTGTTCTCTTAGGGTCTGCATTATATCAATCCAGGCCCTTCTTTCATATTCTCTGTTGAGAAGTCAGGTGTGATTTTAACCATTATATGTTACTTGGCCTTTTTCCCTTACAGCTTTCAGTACTTTTTCTTTGTTATGTATACTTACTGTTTTGATTATTATGTGGCGGGAGGATTTTCTTTTCTGGTCTAATTTATTAGGTGTTCTATAGGCCTCTTGTAATCTTATAGGCCTCTCCTTTAAGTTGGGGAAATTTTCTTCTATGATTTTGTTGAAGATATTTTCTGGGCCTTGGAGAAGGGAGTCTTCTTTTTCCTCTATTCCTAGTATTCTTAGGTTTTGTCTTTTCATATTGTCTTGGATTTCTTGGACGGTCTGTGTCAGGAATTTTTTGGATTTAACATTTTCTTTGACAGATACATCGATTTCTTCCATTGTATCTTCTACACCTGAGATTCTTTCTTCCATCTCTTGTAGTCTGTTGGTTATGCTTACCTCTATAGTTCCTGTTTTCTTCCCTAAATTCTTCCTCTCCATGATTTCTTCCATTTGTGTTTTCTTTAATTTTTCTAGTTCTATCTTCAGGTCCTGAGTTGTTTTGTTTATTTCCTTCACCTGTCTGTATTTTCCTGTTTTTCTTTTAGTCCCTTCAACTCTGTTTCTTTTATTTCTTTCAGTGATTTAATTATTTCTTCTCTGAAGGCCACAAACTGTTTGGCTGCATTTTCCCGTATTTCTTTATGGATGGCCATAATCTGCTTGTCTTTAACTCCCTCCATTTCTTTATGGATAGCCATGATCTGTTTGATTTTATCTTCCTCTAATTCTTTACGTATTTTATTTGTTTCCTCTATTATCCTCTTCATCAGCATAGATGTAAGGTCATCTTCTTGAATTTCAATTATGCTGGGGTGTCCAAGGCTGCTCACCCCTGGATGGCTGGGTTCTGGAGATGCCATATTGCTTTCTTTTGTTGGTTGAGCTTTTATGCTGACGTCTACCCATTGGGCTGTTTTAGGTGTTGGCTGTTGGTCTCTGGTGCTTCCTGGAATCCTGAGGTAGGGAGAATCCCCTTGGCCGGAAGATGATTTTTCCTGAAGGAGGCCTCCTCTGCTTTTTGAGTATGGTCACTGTATGGCCAGTGTTTCTCAGGAATTGCCACTGCTCACCTCAGGCGTATAGACCTGAGTAGTAGCTGTGGTCTTTGTTAGTCAGGGGGGCTCTCCTCTCACCTGTAGAAGTCCTCAAGACAGCTGCCCTGTTGCTGGGTTTCTCGTTCTGAATTTAGTGAGCTGCTGCTGTTGTTACACTGTTTTCCAGGTACATCCCTCTTGAAGAACCTGCTGATTCCCTAGCTGTGGGGTTTTCTCCCAACAGGGAAACTCAGTCTGGTACCCTGGGGCGCACAGTTCTGTCTGGGTAGGTGAGAGGAGCGCCCAGCAAGTCTCTGGGCCAGAGGCTGAGTGCTCCGCTCTGGGCCGGGAGAATGTGCGCCCAAGTTTGAGATGGTGGCTGGGGGCGCCGCTCCGGTCTGGAGGCTGTGCACTCCTTTCTAGGCTGGCAACTGAGGGTTCCATTCTGGTCTGGAGGCTGGGCGCCTCACTCTGGGCCAGAAGCTGTGTGTCCCTGTCTGGGATGGAGGCTGGGGGCGCCGCTCTGGTCTGGAGGTTGTGCATCCCGGTCTGGAATGGCGGCTGCAGGCACCGCTCTGGTCCAGAGGCTGTGTGTCCCGGTCCTGGATGGTGGCTGGGGACGCCGCAGGAGGCTGGGGGCCCCGATCTCATGTGGCGGGTGCGCCCTCCAGTCCCCAGGACCTTTACCAGGTATTGACTGGGTGACTTGAGGTCTGTCCCAATTAATTTCCACACTGTAGGCTTTCCTCTCACCTGGCAATCACAAACGCTAGTGTTTTAGGTCCCTGAGTTCAGTGTCCTGGTCGCTGTGCCAACATTGCTTTCCTGCTCCTCATACACAGTGTACTCCCGGCACCGCCATCTTGTCGCTCCGTGAATTTGTGTGGCTGGTTCTTGAACAGCATCATTTCTCTGTAATTAGATTCTTTTAAAACATGCAGTCTTAAGAGTTTCCATGTCATTTACACAGCAGTTCTATGAAATGTGCTTCGAGAGAAGCGATTTGTCCGCCTTTCACCTTCATGTCGTTCTTTCACACAGGAGTCTGCTGGTATCAAGCAAGGGGGTGTTGATGTGATTATCGAGATGCTGGCAAACAAGAACCTTAGCCATGACCTGAAGCTTCTGTCCCGTGGCGGACGCGTAATCGTAAGTGCAGCACTTTGACTCTCTCTTCTGCTCGACCTCATTTCACAGCAGTCTTCAGCTCTGTGCCTGTTGTTCCCATGGTAGGTTGTTGGCTGTCGAGGTCCCATTGAAATAAACCCAAGGGACACCATGGCAAAGGAGACCAGCATAATTGGAGTTTCTCTGTTTTCGTCCACCAAGGTAGGGAAGGTGGTGGTTCTGACTGTGCTAACGTAAATGCTGGGAAGTTTGTCTAGTCAGCACATTGATGGTTAAAGTACATGTTAAGCTTGTCACCTGACTAGAGAGTAGATACCAGTTAGTCTCAGATGGTTCCAGAGAGCAGAAGCATGGAGAGAGGACATTGTAATCAGAGCTAGATCAAGACAGCATTGTCTAGCTGGCTCTGTCCCAGGCATATGCATGTGACAGAGAATTAAAATGTAGTTCTGGGAAAACTGTCAGTTCTGCATATTTTCACGAGGACCTTTCTGGTTTTACTCTCAGATTCTGAAGTTCCTTAATGCCTCCAGTCATGAGTAGTGTGGTCCACTGCTAAGAAACAGATAACTACAAACACACATTTTTTTTTCAATCGCTTTCCCCTAGGAGGAATTTCAGCAGTTTGCAGGCATCCTCCAAGCAGGGATGGAAAAAGGTTGGCTGAAACCTGTGATTGGATATGAGTATCCCCTGGAGAAGGCAGCCCAGGCGCATGAAGACATCATACACAGCAGTGGGAAGATGGGCAAGATGATTCTTGTCTTATGACGACTGACTCTTGCCAGGATGCCCTGTGTCGCTGCCACACCTCCCCCAAGTCTGTCCTACCCTGTCTTTGATCAGCATTCTTTTGATTGATGTACTAAAAACACGACTCTAGGGATTGGACACAGTGGGCTAGCATCAGAGCAGAGAGTAGCGTGCAAGTCCCATTTGGTTTGGGAGTGCATCTCAAAACTGTTTTTTGTTTTTTTTCTTTCTCTTTGTTTTCTTTGTTTGGTTTGGTGTTCTGTTTTTAAGGTAGGATCTTACTATGTAGTTCATGCTGTCATTATGGTGATCTGTCTGCCTCAGCCTTCTAAGTGCTGGGATAAGAGTCATACACTACCACACACTGCTTCATTTCAGAACTTATTAACTGATTGACTTCAGACCTTTGAATAAAATGTTCTGATTCAAATAGTCCTGCTGATCCTCTGGGCCTCCAAGCCTGCTCAGCCTTATGTAACCACCAGTTCCCTCATCAACCATGGCTGTCTTGGACCCTGAGGAATTCCTGAGCTGAAAAGCATTCTTTGAAAACTAATATCAGGTCAGTCTATAGAGAAGGCAAAGACAAGCCCCACCCGGGAAAGCGCTCAGCCAGTTTTCTAACTTCTGAAATTGTTAGAATACTCATGCATGCTGGTCACCAGCTGCCGGTGTTCTTGAACTCAGCACGCTTATCTGGGGTCTGTGCTATTCAGTGTTCTCACCTATTAAATGTTTAATCATTCTGTATGTGTGACACTGGTCTCAAAGTTTTACTTAAAAGTGTAAGTTCACAAATTAAACACTTTAAGAACATTCTACTTTGGTTTTCATAGTATCTTAACTGGGAGTAAATTCTGTAGCATACTGAAGCCCATGTCTTGTCGTGGGTGTGAAAAGCCTTATTTCTTTTTAGCTCCTGACCTTCGGCTACTTATTATGCCTGCTCTATACTGGGTTTCTTTTAGACTGAGTAGAAGGACAGGCTTTTAGAAATCTCATAGCAAGGAGAAAAGGTTCGGATACTCACTTTTGGCTTTGTTTTTCTTCAGATGAACACATCTTCCTGTTTCTTATTACATTACGTAGATGATTGTCTTGTTTCATTTGTTCTATGAACCACAGTTTGTAGTCTGCACATAGACCCCTGCTCAGCAGTGAGCAAAAGCCACTGTTCGTGCAGCTGGGGGATGGCCACTCATCGCTTGAGGTCTGGGCTGTGACCACAGTGTTGTAGCTGTTAGCATGGTCCATGTCCAGCCACTGCTTATCTTACTGCTTAACTGTCCTATAAAACAGTGTTTTAGAAAAGTTTCAGGAAGACAATGACTTGGATCTTTAGAGTAGGATTTTATACACTTCCTAAAATGGAGGTTTCTTGTTTATACAAAAAGATAAAGGGATGATAATTGTATGAACAGCTTGGTTTGTTTGCACACTTGCCTTGTAAACAGGTAGCACGCACAGGCTCCCTGCTACTTCACAGTCATTGGAGTAGGCCAGTTTTGAGGGCAACATTAGCCGTATGTTGACTAAATTGTCAGGTTCAACATGCTACTGTACTAGGTGTGTTTCTGTGTGACTCTCCCTGTGATCCTGGCTCTAGTCCTGTCCCAACTTGTGGTTCACTGCAGTGTGCGAATTAGGGCTCAGGGCCTAGGTCACCAGTAGCTGACCTTGACAAAAGGCAGATATTTGTTATTTCAACTGTCGACCTTCTGGATTTCTGCTCTTGGATTCTTTGAGTTCTACATTAGAGAACTAGGCAATAAGCAAGCCTGATTCCCAAAACTGTAAAAACATACTCACAGGCACATGAGCAGGAGCTTGGGGTGGGGCTGAGTCTTGTGGTGGTGGTGGTTGTGTTCTGGCTGTTGATATAAAAATTCAATCTCTTGCGCTTTCCTGTCAAGGTCTTTGGGGTTCCTAATTTAACGTTTCTCTGTCTTTCATAGGCATTGAAGTGCCTACCATCCAGCTCTGCTCTGCCTGGGTTCCTCTTAGTTTCTGACAGTTCACTGTGCTTCTCTGGCTTCCCTTGTTTGCTGATCAGATAGTAGTCAGTGAAGATCAGTCTGTTCACCTCAGCTCAGCAACCATCAAGTGTTCATCTGGGAAGGCACCCTGCTGCAATCTGAGCTAACAAAGGTAAATAAAAGACAACCTATTTCCCCAGTGCCACTGTTGAATGGGGATAGAACTCAGTGAAGTATTTCCCAAGACTGGGGTTGTATGTAGCTGTCAGGGGTCTCCAGAGAAGCATCATTAGCAAGACACACATTTGAAGCAATTCCCTCAAGCAGTTGTATGGACAGACACGTCAGGGCCAGCAGGCTAGAAATGTAGATTGGGATTTTACTTTGGAGTCTGAAGCAGAATTCTGTCTACGAAACTTCAGTTTTTGCTATTGAATGCTTCAATTGGTCGGAAAGGCCTCCCTGTTGAAAGGAATTCCTTAGAGTTGCTATAATTATTTTGTATAACAAAAACAAAACAGTGGTTGACATGTAACCAAGCATCAACACAGGGCACAGAGCGGTCACATGATGACTCTTTGAAGTTCCCCCTGCACATTTAAGTCTTGTGATGCTCTTTGTCAGCTCTTTGTATCTGCTTTAGCCGGGCTGGGGACAACCTTAGAGATGTCTGAAAGTGGAAAGGAAATCAGGAAACATTAAAGCAAGAAATTACATATGACCCTGGGATGCCCAAATTCTCAGGATAAAGAGCTGTTTTTTCTGCACCAGATATCTTCCAAGAATGACAAAACTCATCAGGTCAGTCTGACCTGAGTTGGCTTCCTTAGTTGGCCACATCACAAGGTATGAAAGCACCCCAGCACAATTCTTAACTACCTATAAGAATGTCAATTTTTAGTATGCTCTTTTAAAAAAATGCCATTTAAAATTGCCACAGCATTTTTATTACTTCAAAGAGTCCATATTTTGTGGACTTTTATAGCCAAGGAAAAGGCCTAGGGAGTGTTATGGCATAGAACCAGAGTTCACTGTTGTCTGCCATTGACTGTAAGGGGTCCATGATGGTCCATGTGGGCCCCTTTATAATAAATTGGACTGATCCCCGAAACATCGTGTGATACAAGTACTCACGAAGCATGTGTTGAGTATGTAATGGGAAGAATCCCTCCAGTCAAGAATTCAGTCTAAGCACTCAGGAGGCCAGGAGAAACTCCAGTTCTCGGAGTGTGCAGCAGGTCCTTAGCCAATGCTCAAGAAGTCTTCTGACAATATTCCCTAGCTTATGAGGAGTAGGGAATATTGCCATAATCCAGTCTCCAGGACCATCTTAGGCTAGTCTTCTCTTCACCGCCCCAAAAAAGATTTTTATCTGGTGCTAAGCAAATTGTTTTTCAGCAGCAGAAATTGTGTTGTTTAATTAGGACAGTTTATCTTCCTACCACAGAGAGTGATGTTTCCGTGAATAGCGATGGTTTTTCAATAAAGCAACTAGCAGCCTGCCGTTCCTGGTTTACTGTTCTCAGCTGTACACAAGCACTAGCTACAAAGACTGATGTTAACAACTAAAGACACATCACCATCCTCTTGGAGCTTCTGAATCCATCTTTGTTTGATTCACTGAGCTAAGTTAGGTAGAAAGAAATCCAAATTCAGCCACTGCCTCTAACCCAGGACACAGGAGCTACACTGCCTGGAAAGCTGCAGTCCCACTGCCTGCACAAAGACCATCTGAGGCAGGGGTATCTGAGGTCAGTGCCAGGCCACTGTATCGCTCAGTTCCTTTTCCCTGCAATTTAGAATCAATTACCAATTGTAATCAATTGTCAAGTGTCTGCTGCACTTGGCACCTGCTCTGTCCCCTAATGAACATGTATCAACTGCTTGCTTGATGCCCTGGTGACATTGAGAGGTGGCAGAACCTTCAGTAGGTGGAGCTGTTAGAAGCTTCTAAGTCAGAGACTGTACTGTCAAGTGGACGGGGACCTCAGCCTCTTTCCTTACTGTCTGCAGTAATGTTGATGGGCCTTCATCTACCACATGCTTCTGCTCTGGTGAGATATCAGGCCACAAGCCCAGAGCCATGAAGTCAACTGTTCACCGGCTGAAGTCGCCAAAATGTATCTCAAATAAAACCTTTTCTACTTGAGTAAGAGAAAAGAGTTATTTGAGTGAACTGTCTCAGGCATTAACAAGAATTGCACACTTACCAAGCCAGATTGGCAATTGCCACCTGGAAAGTACTTTGCACACAAATGTTGATTGGAGGATTTCTGTGTGGCATCCCAGCTATACAAGAAACCATACTTCAGCAAAGAATATTTTCTGAGTCCCAGAGCCAGATGATCCAAAAAGCAGGAGGTCCATGACACAGTAAGCCAGCACATGGGTGACACACAGACACAAGAGGATTCACTGCAGGACCTATTGGAAAGGACTTCGGATCCCCTATAGACTAGAGGGAGGGGCCACAAGCACATGTAACCCCAGCACCGGTAAGACCAGGGTTCAGAAAGGCACAACACCTAGTGCTAAGTGCCAGACCTGTCGCTGAACAAGTGGAACTGGAGGCAATGATTTAATAATTAGAGCCTCACTTTGGTATTGTGCAGCATGTGTGGGAGGTAAGAATTTAAAAATGGGACAGTTGCCATCAGTCCTTCATGGTCTGCCTAACACAAAGACGTGTGTAAATGATGCTTAGTTTTCAGTAGCCAAGAAGAAATGACACATTGAACAAAAAGGAGTGAAGAGGGATCACCCTGAAATATGCACAAAAAAAAAAAGCATAATAGAAAAAACTTGGTAACTCTCCCCTCAAAAAAAAAAAAAAAAAAAAATTGAAAGGAAAAAGTTGAAGGGCACGTGCAGTTTTCATCCTAACCATACTAACAGTAAAATATTGGAAATGACCGAATTTCCATCAGTTGAGTGATTAGTCCACTATGACAGCTACACATGACAGGTATTGCCCAACCAAGAGTACCCCCAGAAAAGTGAGAAAAGCAAATAAAAAATGCTCTGAGCTGAACAGCACGATTAGTCCAGAGGACGACTTGTGTTGATGAAAACCACTGCTGGTGAAAGGTAGACTTTAAGGTTGTTGACATACACTTATTAGATTTGGAAGGGTATTAGTTTTCTTTTCATTGCAATGAGAAAATGCCTGGTAAAAGCAATGTAGGAAGGAAGGGCTTCAGGTTCATGGTTTGAGGTGTGCAGCCTTCATGGCAGGGGTGCGGGGAGGCTACTGAGGTTGCCCTGCCATGCTGGGCACATTTCCTGCACAGTCAGGAAGCAGGGAGAGATGAATGTTGTTGCTCATTTACCCTTTAATTCAGTGACGGCACCTTGCTCTTATACTTGGCTGTTCTTCCCTCCTTAGTTAAGTCTCTGTGGAAACTCTCTCATAGAGTGCCCAAAAATGTGTTTCCTTGGTGATTTTAAACCCAGTCAAGTGGACAATGAGGTTTAATCACTGTAGAAAGAACACAGAGAAGAGTCAGCACTTATGTGAGTTAGAATCTGGAAACTGCAAGAGGATAAACAGAAACAAAATGGAGTTCAAAAGGTGCCTGATGAGAGTATAAAAATTCATAGAAAGCCATATGAGCACTTAGAGAATATAGAGAAATTCACAGTTGCAGCATTACTATGATCACCAGTTTAAAATATAATGAAAATGTAAGTAACCAAACTTAAAAGAAGCATTCAGGGTCTTTAGAAACAGAACTGTAAGACTCTCCTGAAACTTAAAAATAATAATAAAAAAAGTTTCTTAGCCACATTGCTGTGAAGAGTCTCTCCTTTGTGCTCTCAAACTTCAAAGAAGCTTTATAACAAAA